ATATATATACAATAAAATAATGTTTGGATTTTGGAGGCTTTGGTGGGGCGGTGAGAGTAGTGAAGAGGGAGAAGGAAAGAAAGGAAGAAAGAAAGAAAGAAAGAAAGAAAGAAAGAAAGAAAGAAAGAAAGAAAGAAGGAAAAAAAGAAAGGGGAGAAAGAGGAGAAAGAAAAAAAAGAGGAGAAAAGAACGAGGAAAGAAAAGTACAATGGAAGAAAAGAAGGGTGGAAGAAAAGAAAGTTTGAGATGAAACTCCAAAGAAAGTACTCTAGTCTAAGTGAAAGTCTTGACAAAGATGTTCATGCTGCTTGCTGTTCCCCAGCATGTCCTGTTCATTGCAGAGATTTCAACACACATTATTTATCCCTCTCCTTGTCTCAAAGAAGTTGGGGTGGGGTCGTAGTGGAGGTGGGGTGGGGGCTGGGGCTGGGATGGGGGTTGTTGTCTTTTTGGAGTATTGAGATGGACGTGAGTGGTTAATTAAGGCTGGGGGGTCGGGACGGGGGTGTTGACGGAAAAAATGATTTAAGATGACCATTGAGTTGAGAGGAATCTTATACATGTACGAGTGATAGAATGGTGATGATGAAGACATTAAAGAATCCTTCATCAATGACAGCAACTTAAAGTACGATAATGATGACGACAACAGCCAAAAAAAAAGTTTGGAGAAACAGAAAACGATGTTATGTTATGAGTACAAAAAAGAAAAGAAAAAAAAGATTAAAAAAAGAAAGAAAAGGAAACCAAGCCAAACAAGAAAACAGTCAACATAATAATATCGAAAAAATACACTAAAATGTGGACACAGAGTGAAGAAAGGAGCAAGCAAAACTGCCACTTTATCTTCTCTGTCTAACTGAATCTTCTACAGATCAAGCAAATATACACATTGTTAATTTGTGTGACTTTGATCAACATTAAGCCTCTGTATTCCTGCCTGTGTCGTACTATTTGTTTTCTGTCAAAGAGAGAGCCGAGATGCGCCTTCTGCCTGAACTTCTTTCGGAAAAATATGGCTGTTTAAAACAAACATCAACAAATCAAAGCCGACGTTCAATAACCAATGTATTGACAGACACAACACGGAAATACAAACTCCACGGGGTGGTAACCAAGTAATGAGCAAAGGATGCGAGCTACTACTATCATAGCACTATGGGTGTGAGCAAAGTCCCTAACGAGTGCTGTCCCCTTGTATCTCCCATCGGACCTAGTGTTTGTTCAGGTGGCGCCCCCACGTGACTGCGGGCCTGACTTAAGATTTCCGCCCACTAACAGTTGTGGCACTGTGGGACACACACACGCGCACACACAAGCAGAAATCAGAAGCTATCAACCCAGAGACAGCATCGTTTCTCAAGTTTCGCGCCGTTCAAACCCCCGGACCCATCTCCATCTAGCCATACTCCGTACCCTAGCGGCAAATCCTTCGTGTTCATCTGTAACCGATCGTCCAAAGTACAACTAAACGTGCCGGCGACGCGACATTCGAGTGTGAGCAAACTCCTCCATCCGTGCCCCTGGCCCGCGCGGCACAAAGCCGCCTCATAATTGGCTAATATGTTCACCCGGCCGCCGGCTTCTATCGAGTTTCAGCCTGCCAGCTTGTTATTTTGTATCCAAAAAATGAGCAAACGCAGGCCCCCATTCGCTGGTGGTGCTGTGTATCTCTTCCCGGGAAGGAAGCGGCGCGAGGAAGGACGTGGGATTCACACCATCCCCCCAGACCACGGTCTCTCCTTTCTGTCCCGTGAGTTTGGTTGTGTGGTGCGAATTGCTCATTGTTCTCTGTTGCTCTTGCCCCCATGCTGTGTCCTGCGAGTTGGCGTCGAGCAACGAATGCACACCAGTGTCTGTGGTGTAGTGGTAAGGCTCTTCGCTGTCGCATGCAGAAGACCCGAGTTCGATTTCCGAGTGGAGCGAATATTTTTTCGAGTTTCTCTGTCTTTCTGCTGAGATGTTATAGTGTCCCTCTCAGCCTGGGTTGGCCCCAACAGACAGGTTCGGAAACCCTCTTCCTAACAGATCTAAATAGTGTCGATGGGGGTGTAAAAACTCCCACATTTTAAAATCCAAAGGAAAGCAGAGAACCCTGTCTGTCAGCGCCACCGCCG